TCCTCAAGCAACCGGACGAGTTATGGGTCCGAGTGGTGAAGGAGAAGTATCTCAGGGAGGATCATAATGGGGTTGAGCTACGACGGAAGACGCGATGCTCGCAGCTGTGGAGAGGTGTTCGACGGGTTTGGGGATTGATGCTGGAAGGAACTAGCTGGAGTGTTAGGGATGGAAGAACAACTATGTTTTGGCAGGATAAGTGGTTGGATAGCGGCATGGCGCTTGTGGAAAATGCTTGGACAACAAAGCCAGGCTTCCAAAGTGAAGCAACAGTAGCCGACATGACTACCCCTGAAGGTGAGTGGGATTTGCCTCTTATTGAACAATTCTTACCTCGTGATTTTGTTTTGCAGGTTGTAGGGACCCCTCCACCGAAACCCAATCTGGGAAATGATGCCATAGTTTGGGGCCTTGAAGAAAAAGGAAACTTCACCATTCGTTCAGCCTATCAACTTGTAGCAGAGGTGGACAGGGACAACGAAGACTCCGGATGGCGGGATGTGTGGAGATGGCCAGGCCACAATAGGGTCAGACACTTCTTGTGGCTCGCGGCGCATGGCTCTCTCCTCACCAATTCCGAGAGACAGAGGCGCCACCTAGCAACTTCAACTACCTGTCCACGATGCAAGATGGGGACGGAGACTATTGAGCACACCCTCCGTACGTGCAGCTACGCGAAGCAAGTGTGGCAACAGGTGCTCCCGGCGGCAGCTCGAGCTTCGGATCGAAGGGACATGAAGTCTTGGTTCATGGACCTTCTGCGCAGCCATAACCACCAAGTACGGTTCGGCCTCTCGTGCTGGTTCTTATGGCGCTCGAGAAATGATTATGTCTTTTCAGCCATTGAGGAATCCCCTAGTAAGTTGACGCAAAAGATCCTCGCCTGGGAGGTCGCGGCGCAGAGAAGTAAAGCAGCGGACCAAGCTATTTCACTGGGGAGGTCGGAGCCGAGTCGAGACATGGCTGTTGGGTGGAGACCGGCTCCGACAGGATGGATCACAGTGAACTCTGACGGCTCTCTCCTGAGACCATCAGTGTCTACCGCTGCAGGGGGCGCACTTAGAGACTGGCAGGGTCGCTTACTGGGGGGTTTTTCAATGAATCTGGGAAGATGTACCATTACTCCAACTGGATTCCACTACTGCAGTTCAGCTTTTATCCCTGGAAGGACGACCCACCAGCATGCGAGCCTAGTTCTAGAGTTTCGTGAACTGGTTCGGAGAGACTGGGAGGTTGTAGTTCGCCACATCTATAGGGAGGCTAACTTCTTAGCCGACTGCCTTGCTCACCAGGGTCACTTGTTAGACCCTGGATCTATCTCTTTCAGTGTTAGTAGCCCAGATGTTGACCGCTGGCTTTTGTATGACTCTGTTGGCGGATTTGTTGTCCGCACAGTTAAGTAATTGAGGCCGAGGTGCTTGCACCTTTTTCACAAAAAAAAAAAAAAAACCAAACACCTTTGCCCAAACATACAAGGAAAATGTCAAACAAAGCCCAAACACAAACCCAAACAAAATAGATCCAAAACACAAAACAAAACCAAATCAAATTCAAGTCATATTCTAACATAGTCATATAAACATTACAAACATAATAGATAAAAATGACAAACTAGAATGACAAACGATACAAATCGAATTGATACAAAATCACCAAAATATACTTACAAACATTACAAAATCGTTCGACAAACATACAAAACAGACACTGTTGCCGAAAAATCTCCCATCGTCGGAAAATCCTCTTCGCCGCCGCCGAGAAATTCGCCGATGACGAAAAATCATCCCTCTCTATATTTCATATTCTGGGCAAAAAGCCCCGCCAGTATAACTTCCCAATCCCCGGCCAACGAGTGGAAAAGGGATGCCGGGAAGGAACTGAACTGGCACCGACGAGAAAGCTGTCGGAAAGGGACATCAGGATTTTTTTGTAACCGACGAGGAAGGACAGGTGAAGAATGATTTTTAATTAATAAAATAATAATATTGATAAATAAAATAATAATGTATGAGATGAAAAAATATGAAATTCACTTACAAACGGACCGTTCTAACAAGTAAAAAAAAGAAGTCGGAATGGAGGTCAATGATTATTTTTTGTCGGTTGAAGTTGATCGGAGAAGAGAAATTAAGGGTAGGCTTTGAAAAGATGAAACAAAAAATGAGGGGTTGTAAAAACCTGCATTTGAGAGATTTCAAAATCTCTAATGTCCACAATCCTTCATCTTTCCAAACACAGAATTATTTTAAAATCTTGCAAAATAAGAGATTGTTTAAATTCCCTGCAATGGGTCGGGTTGGGTCGGGTTTTGCCAAACCCAAACCCAAACCCATGGGTTTATCTTTGAAAAAAACCCGGGGTAAAACCCACTGGGTTTGAAAAACTCAAACCCAACCCAACCCGTTGGGTATCCGCGGGTTCATGGGTACCCACGAGTTTGTCGTAAAAAATTTACAATTACAAGTTCTTATCAAAATTAAAGTCAAATATCAATCTCTCAATATAAATGGGTTAATTGCATGGTTGGTCACTGAGATTACAAAAAACGTTCATGTTTGGTCACTGAAAATATTTAAATCCAATCTTGGTCACTCAAATTAGTTAAATGGTTCAAGTTTGGTCACTCTCCGTCCAACTCCGTTAAATATGTCTGATGTGGCAGTCAACCCTCAAAGTTGACCGTTAACTCGGTGACGTGGCAATTAAAAAATAATAAATAAAATAAATTTTAATCTTTTACCATTTCCAACTCATTTTCAAAATAAAATAAAAAAATAAAAAAATAATTATAAATGGCTTCTACCGTTTGGTCACACGCCGCAATCCCCTCTGGAAACAGAGAGAAAAAAGAGGATAAAAAATGGCTTCTGGGTTCACGGCGGAGGAGGAATCTGAGGATGAGCTTCCCCTCCTGGGCAACGTCGTGATGGTTCCTCTAGCATATCTCCGGAGTCCAGAGATGGGGAAAATTTCTCTCAGTCTCTCTCAGTCAGTCAGATCTTCTTTCCCTAAAATCCCAAGTCAAACCAACTCAAACAACAACAATGTCGACCCGCTACCTCCTCCTCCTCGCCCTCACCGCCTTCCTCCTCGCCTCCAATCCGGCTTCAGCCTCCTCCTCCGCCACCGACGACGACGAGGACCTCACCTTCCTCGAAGACTCCTCCTCCTCCTCCTCCTCCTCCTCCTCATCCCCCGCCCAGCACTACCCCGATTCCGATCACTTCGACGACGACGAAGACTTAGCGGGCGAAGGCAGCGGCTATTTCGAGAACTACGACGATCTCGACGATGGCGGCGACTCCGATCCCGACGCCTACAAATCAAACTCTGTGGAAGACCTGTTGTTGTTCATGATTCCTTCATACACAAACCCATTGCTATCAGCCACTTCCTCCAGAGCAGGATGCAGAGTGGTGGAGTTTACAACAACAACATTGGTACTAACACTAATACTACCGCTACCAATTCCTTGTCCTGGAGCTTCATCGGGCGAAGAAGGCGCAGAGGAGGACGGCAAAACGACGCCGTATGAGAGCTTGAGGAATTGGAATGTCACAGCCAGAGCAAAAGTCACCCCTACCACCGTCAGCAATCTCCATCCAAATTCTTTACTCATTTGGGAGGGAAGACAAATAGCCATTACCCAGTTGCCCCTTTTGTTTGTCAGCCGAGAAAATTGATGGGAATCGGAAAATTTCCGCGAGAAAGAAAGTTCAAGCCGGGGAAGAGATTATTACCATGGAGAACAGAGAGGTTGACTTTTTTGACTCCTGTCTCGACTTGGCTCCTGTTTGGTTACCGAGAAAATAAAAATGGGTGAGAAAATTGGGAGCTCGAAGACGACGAAGGAGGGTTCCCAGAGGGGTTTTGGTCAAAATCAGAAGATTTTGCCAGTTGCCACACTGAAGGAAAGGATTTTCCGAGAAAGCGTGTTTCTCTTGCTATTCTTTCCTTCTTTTGGGGTTCAAAGATTCTCGGCGACCAAACAGCTGGTTTGTGGGTTTCTTTCTCGCCGGGGCGGTTGCATGGCAGCGGCGATGAGAGTCTCTCTCTCTGCAACTCTGCTCTGTTTCCTCTTTATCCTCTTTTTTTCTCTCTGTTTCCGGAGGGGATTGCGGCGTGTGACCAAACGGTAGAAGCCATTTATTTTTTTATTTTTATTTTACTTTATTGTGAAAATGAGTTGGAAATGGTAAAAGATTAAAATTTATTTTATTTATTATTTTTTAATTGCCACGTCACCGAGTTAACGGTCAACTTTGAGAGTTGACTGCCACATCAGACATATTTAACGGAGTTGGACGGAGAGTGACCAAACTTGAACCATTTAACTAATTTGAGTGACCAAGATTGAATTTAAATATTTTCAGTGATCAAACATGAACGTTTTTTATAATCTCAGTGACCAACCATGCAATTAACCCCAATATAAATTATCCATATATAAAACACCAAATTAGAAAATTCAAGCAAATCACAAATTAACTATACAAATTGTTCAACACCAATCAAGAAAACTTAAGAAAATTGAAGCAAATCACAAATTATCCATAAATAACATGTTTAATTGAAAACTTCTTCCTTTCAATTAAGTTTCTTTACTCTCCACTCCATAACATCAACTTAATTCTACACAATTAAAAAGAAAAAATTAGACATGTCTCCACAAATATAAATAAGATTAGTTGTTTAGAAAATTAAATATACCGAAAAAATTAATTATATGAGTAGGCGGGTACCCACGGGCCGGGTTTACCTAAACCCAAACCCAACCCGATGAATAGTGAACGGGTTTAAACCCAAACCCGGCCCAAAACCCGTCAACACGGATTTTACCCGCGTTGACCGGGTTGGATCGGGTGGGTACCCATTGGTTCGGGTTTTGTTGCCATCCCTACACAAATAACTCATCACTATCCTGCATCCAAACGTACCCTTGGGGAATTTTGATTTTTGACCCGAACCCGCCCTGGAATCTTCACTTCTTTGTTTTCGTTGTTTCTCTTTATTTTTTTGGTAAGAGTTTTCGTCGTTTCCCTGCCCCCCTAGACCACCAGCAGCCAAAAGTAGCCGCCGTAGTTAGCAACCAAGAATCGTCTTAAGATCCACCAGGAAATAGGAATCATCGACCAATCAAAGTCTTCACTAACCATCCAGCCAGCCAACGGATCCAGTAGTGGAGAAAGCAAGCATGACAATGGAATCGATCCTCTGCTTCCAAACTTCAGAACCTTGAATCCTGAGTCACTTTATTAGCCATTACTCCTCTGCTTCCTCCATCACTGCGTCGCGGTCTCTCACGCCAGCTTCAGCGAGACCTCTCCAACTTCAAAATTCTCCATCTACCGCTGAAAATTCGCGTCATCATTTGCGCGTAGGGTTCATATCGACTGTGATCCGATAGGAGATGGTAAAGGAGACTGAATACTATGATGTGCTTGGGGTCAGTCCGACGGCCACCGAGGCTGAGATAAAGAAAGCTTATTACATAAAGGTGCATCCTCCCACCCGCTTTGTTCATCGTCTTCTCGTTGTTGTTTACTTTTCTGATTTCTTCGTACTCATCGCATTAGTCTCGCGTTTTTTTGTGCTACTCCTATCTGCAGGCACGGCAGGTTCATCCAGATAAAAACCCTAATGATCCTCAGGCGGCACAAAATTTTCAGGCAAGTTTTCCATCACCCAACTTTCAGTATGTTATGTGATTTCAACAGTGTGTTTCTAAGGATAGCAGGGTCAACTGCTGATTCTTAACTTTTGATAGCATTAGCATAGCGCTCCATGAGCTAGAAGTCCTTTACTATGCAACACTTGGGGGTTCGCACCATAATACTTGAACGTTCGAACAACTGAACTTTCTTTTCTGAAATTGCTTACCGATGAAAGTGTTGTCCTTCTTGTTAGCCTCTTGCCCTCTTGCTGCTTCTTTTTTCTGGCATGCCATCCCTATTGCTCGACGACACAATAAGCTCCATTTCAATTTCGCCTCAATGGCCCATTTAATTTTGCCTTCATGTTTTTTACTCTATTAAGGTTAGTGGTCTTTGTTGGGAGCAAGCTAACAGCCATCAGGGGTCCCTGCCATGTATGAGTATGTAGTCACCTAAGTGGCAGGGGTAATAAACAGTGGTGGAGGCAGCATTTCAAACCACCCTTGTCCTCTTTTCATAACTAAAATATATAAGTATCTAATAAAATAATTATTTAATAAAAATAATTATATCCAAATAATTCATTCATAAATTAAAAATAACCGATTATACACATACTTTTTAGGATCAACTACGAAGGAATTTCATATAAGAAGCGCAAAAACATTTGTTGTCTACACTATTATATAAGTCTCTTTCAATGTATCTTACTAAACAAGTATTAGCAAACTGATCGCCAAATCGACTTGGAAACTTGTTCTTAATATAACTCAATAAAATGCTCTTTTTACACTTGCAGTTGTAATTGGTAGATCAAAACTAGCTGAATTGCCGTTGTCGCTAGACAATTTCAGGGTTGTTGGGGAAAGATCAAATAGGCATAAGGAGAAAAGAGACCTGATTAGTTCTTTATTGCAATTGGAATTTCGTTTATTGTATAATAAATTAATTTTATGTCAATTTTGGACAAGTAATGAGTTGTGTTGTAGTGACAAAGTACTCTAATACTACCTATACGTGTTGTGTTCCATCACCAATATAAATATATATGGCGTATTTTTGTTCCACCTAAATTTACCCCTGTCCCGGGACAAGGCCAAAAGGCCCTGCCTCCGCCACTGGTAATAGATATGGAACTGTAGATAACTTCAGCTGTGTATTCAGATATACATAATTTCGGTTTGAGGAATTGGACAAATTTTGGGTTGAATGAGCATATCCATTTGAGTTGTGCTTGTAATTTTTTGAATTTTCGATAGAAGCTACTCTTTCTATTGAAAGAGTGTATACACAGCTTCTCACTTAAAAGTAAAGAAAGGTGAGTATCCTGCACTGTTTCCTATCATGGCCAGAATCACCTCAATCTTACATTTCTATTGGTGGAACGAAACTGTAACTAGCTAATAAAACATGTCAATGCATTATGCATTTAAGCTCAACATGGGAAGCCAACCATAGTTGTATGACTAAAGGAAGTTACTGGTTCAACTCAACAGTATTACAAGTTCTCAACTCTTGACGTGGAATTGCGCCTTGCTTGACTGAATGATGCGTTAGCATTCTGATTTTACTCCCATTCACTTTATTAAGAATTTATTTGATTCATTAATCTTTGACTAGCTGCTTCAACTCAGAAGCAACATAATGCTTGAGCTTTAATTTGTAATTTTCCTGTAATTTAAATGTCCGAAACACAGCAGCGAATTGGTTACTTTTGTTGTGTCCCTCAAAAGATCTGGTAAGAATGAGTAATGTCGAAAAACTGTTGGGTAACTGAACCATGTATAATTGTTAGGAATTGAACTAGCATGGTCAGGTTTAGTAATTTTTGTTTGAAGAAGCGTGCTTGGCCGGACCGTTTCATCACTTCCTTCTTTTCTTCTCCATTTCCCCTAGTGAATCATATTTTGTTCTTCTATTGCATATGCGATGCCTGTTCGTTCTTAGAGTCTATAAGGTTCGAAAATGTTTTTTCTTAACATCCAGAAAACACAGAAAAGTTGCATTTTAGCCATTCAATGTATAATTATGATATATATTTGTAATGTCTATAGTGAGTTTGATCCCATTCTCATAAACAACTGATTTTTTATGAATCTCATTTTTTGTACTATTCCCTTCCTTTTATTTAGCATAGTAATAGAAGGTTTTGGGTGATCTAGGTTTATGTAATTTCTTTTTCCTCATCCCTTCTGGTGATGTCTTTCCAATTTTTGTGACAATTGCTCTTAGTCTATTTGAATGACCCGCTCTATCTGCTGTATAGAGGTTTAGAACGAACTGAATTTGGCATTCGTGCTACTATTGGTTGTCCCTTATTGTGATGTCATGAATCTGGATACAGGTCTTGGGAGAAGCATACCAAGTATTGAGTGATTCTACCCAGAGACAAGCTTATGATGCATACGGGAAGTCTGGAATCTCAACGTTAGTCTCTTATTCTTGTTTCATATTTGGTAATAGTTTGTTCACGCATCTCATCTATAACAATTAAAAATATTCTGATGAATTTTATCCTGTGTACTGTTTTTTCTTCATTTCCCCCCTTTCTTTTTGTGATGGTTGTTGCATGTTTCTTTCTCATTGCAGCGAAGGGATCATTGATCCTGCAGCAATCTTTGCCATGCTTTTTGGTAGTGAGCTTTTTGAGGATTACATAGGACAGCTCGCCATGGCATCTATGGCATCATTGGACATTTTCACGGAAGGGGAGCAGTTTGATACCAAGAAGTTACAAGATAAAATGAGGGTAGAATCTATTACCATTAGTTGTATGTTGAATAATTTACCTCGTCTGCCCTTCACATGATGTCCTTTCATATTTTAATTATTTTTACTATTTTGTTTTCTGCGAAAGATAAACTGACAAATAGAAGACTAGTGTTCCTTTCTGCTTGAAATCTAGTTTTTTTTAAAAACTTCTGTGGAGCGTGCTTGCGGTAAGTTTTCGGAAACTTGGCTCCATGCGGTTTTGTGGTGGGTCTAGGTTCGTACATCATTTGAAGGAGGCCTGACTTTGGCGGTTTACGAGGCTTCAGCTTTAGGTTGTAGCTGCGAAAAAGAAAAACAGTGTTCCCTGAGGGTTATGAAACTCAGAAATACGTAACATGATTCTTGAATTGATAACATTATGGTTATGTATTTAGTATTGTGGGCTGTTGAGCCTAATCTGTTCCGATAATCCTTTGCTAATATTGTCTAGGTTGCATTTACAAATTGATTATGTGCAGGTTGTTCAGAAGGAGAGAGAAGAAAGGCTAGCAGAAACACTAAAAAATCGACTCCACCAATACGTACAAGGAAATAAAGAAGAGTTTGTTAAACATGCCGAGTCTGAAGTAACTAGACTTTCGAATGCAGGTAAATTCTGTGTATCTGGGCAGGATAATTTAAACAGTAGTGGGGGCAAATTCTATGCATTTAGTTAAGTAAATTTTAGGCTAGTCAAGTTATTGAAATTTCATGACCAAACAAGCGGCAAAAATGATCACTTTCAACTAAGTTCTCGTAATGCTTACCGACAGTACTATTTTACGTTATCATTATCAATGGGCAAACTTTCACTGTGTAATAGGCCTTGTGCTATTTAGTTATTTTCAGGTAGCATGGACTTCATATTCCAAATAAGAGTCCAAAAACCAAAATCTTAAAGTTGGATAAGGTTGAATTGTTTGGGCTTATGACCATGCTCTTATTCTTTTAAGAACAATACAAGCTAACCAAACGCCAACTAATATCATGATTTTGAACACTTGGTAGTGCAAACTTGAACATATATCACTGCACATGCATTTGGTTTGTAATGAAACAAAGTTGTGGCTACTTATGGTTCGACAATTACTGTTACATATAACAATTGTGTTCTCATGTGTTAGAAACAAAGTTTCTAACGGTTGTAGAATTGGGGAAAATAGCCTGACCAACTAGGGATTGATCAAGCTAGGGATTAGAATTAGGGATTTTAGGAAGAAGAAAGGGGAGGGATGGCTGCCGATCGGCCAAGAGAGAGAGAAAGAGAGAGGGAATTCGGCGCTGGGGAGAGAGAGAGAGAGATTAGGTTTTGGGTTTTCTGTAGTTTATTGCTTACTGACAAAATAACTCCCTACTGCAGATTATATAATCCGCAAAATACCCAACTGCTACCCACATAATGAAAATACCCCAAATGATCCCCCCAATTATCAAAAACCGACAATAATACGAAATAATGAAAAGCTGTAAATTGTTTGTTTCTAACATCCCCGCCTCCATGGGAAACAACCTTGTCCTCAAGGTTGCGGCTTCTCTTGCTCTGCTCCGGATTCCTCCGCCATCTCATCCTCCGCCTCATCTTCCCATCGTCCCACCAAGAACATCAAGTCAGGCTTCCCGCACTTGTGACCAAAGGTAAACCGCTCGTCACAGTTGAAACACTTCCCTTCTCGCCTCTTCTGCTCGATCTCTGCAGGAGATAGCGTCCTAAACCCCTTGGGCGGTGGCCTTGGTCCCGCTCGAATGACAGCCGAAGGTGGGCCAGCCGCCGCACCCCCTCCCGAACCAGAACCCGATGCAGCTGCGCTCGCTCCTCCACTAGCGCTGATACCACTGCCTCCTCCTCCGGCCGGTTTCTGATAGCGGCCTATCACGCCCCTCCAGCTAGCCAGCTCCTCCTCCTTGTTACCTGCAAGACGGAAAACAGCTCGAAGTGAATCGGGCTCAAATACTCGAACAGCTGCTGCGATCTCTGGGCGGAGTCCCGCCATGCATAGACCCACCAAAGTCTCCTCCGGCACGCCCTTGCACTGGTTACCCAGTTTGAAGAACTCAGCTCGGTACTCCGCCACTGTCCCAGTCTGGCGCAGCTTCGCCAACTGCTCCGGGGCCCACCCTTCCGACTTGCCAAACTGATACCTCAACTCCTCCTTGAACATCGGCCAAGTAATCAGCGTCCGAGCTTCAGCGTAGGTCCGCTCCATCCATTCCCACCACTGCAATGCATCCCCCTCCAAATAGAAGGACGCCAACTGAGCCTTCCGTTCCTCTCTAGTGGGATGGTTCTTGAACCACCGTTCTGCAGAGTATATCCACAGACCTGCATCCTCCCTGCCATTGAATTTTGGAAACTCAATGGTTGGGGGCTTAGCTCGGAACACCATCTCATCTTCCCCTTCACCACCACGGAAGTGGCCAGCATGCCTGCCATACCCCGGGGCCTCGCGGTGATAATGCTGCGAGTACCGGTGTCCCCCGTCATACTCCCACTCCTCCTCCTCCTCCTCCTGATACCCCCGTCCTCGGCCCATCTCAGTTCTCTGCCTCTGATCACCAGTTCCTGAGCCCATGAATTCTCCCCCAGTGCCGTACTGATTCACAAACGGGGGCTGATTGCCACTAAACTCGTCAAGCTGACCTGGACGGGCTGGAAATCCTCTGCTGCCCGTTCCCCCCGTGCGCACAAGCTGCTGTCCCGGGTCGGCTCGGGTCCGACCGGGTTCGGTCCGACCGGGTTCGGTCCGACCGGGTTCGGTCCGACCACTCGGGCCCCGACTCGGCCCGGCTCGGCCCGCATGCTCGGCCCGGCCCACAGGTCCTCGGCCCATGAGGTTCGGCCGGCCTGCCTCCCAGCCGCGGCCCATTCCTCGCCCCTTCCCACCTGGTCCAACTTCCAACCCAGCTCGGCCCATATGGCTTCCTTCATCCCTGCTGTAATCCTCCCCGGGCCCATTCAACTCGTTAGGCCACGGCTCGTGGTCATACTCCTGCTCCAAGCCCATCAACTCCTCTTCATCCAAGCCCGTTTGTAGCTCCGGTTCCACGTACTCGGCCATCTTGGCCTTGCCTCGCGCGCGCGCCCTCTCCTGGGCCGATGGGGTCGGTAGAAGCCCATCCTTGACCGATGGGCCGAAGGTGACTTGGCCCGTACGCGACCCGGTCGGCCGGCTAGGGTTGACCGCCGCACCCCCCGTCTCGCCTGAGCCGCCCGCCCCCTTGCCCTCCGGAAGCCGCGCGGCTCCTCGTCCCCCGAGCTCCCCCGCCACGGCGGAGCCTCCCCCCGGTGCGCCCGTCCCTTCCGGCGGCGGCTGGTCGCCCCCACCGCCTCCGTTCCCGCCTCTCTTCCAGGCCTCTGTCAGGCTGCTCACCTGCCCCACCAGCGATTCCACCGCTGCCGTCAAGGCCTCGAGGGTGCGGTTTTGATCCCTAGCCCTCGCTTGCAGCTCCCCCAACTCCTCTTCCACCCGCGCCTGTCTCCGCGCCTGCGCCTCCAAGTCCCTCCTCAGTTCCTCCACCCCTGTCAGATCCTCCACAGACCCCTCGACCCCGTCATCACCAGCCTGATTCGCCTTCTCCGCTTTCTCTGCTGCCTTCATGGATTTCGTCGTTACCATCGTTGATTCTCCGGTTTCTATGCTGTCCCTGATGGAGTTGAGCAGAACTCACCGATCGAAACCGGGCTCTGATACCAGATGTTAGAAACAAAGTTTCTAACGGTTGTAGAATTGGGGAAAATAGCCTTGACCAACTAGGGATTGATCAAGCTAGGGATTAGAATTAGGGATTTTAGGAAGAAGAAAGGGGAGGGATGGCTGCCGATCGGCCAAGAGAGAGAGAAAGAGAGAGGGAATTCGGCGCTGGGGAGAGAGAGAGAGAGATTAGGTTTTGGGTTTTCTGTAGTTTATTGCTTACTGACAAAATAACTCCCTACTGCAGATTATATAATCCGCAAAATACCCAACTGCTACCCACATAATGAAAATACCCCAAATGATCCCCCCAATTATCAAAAACCGACAATAATACGAAATAATGAAAAGCTGTAAATTGTTTGTTTCTAACATCATGAGTAGTTTTTCATGATTTGCTAATTAGAATGATGGGCTTCATGACTCGTATGTAGTTGTCATATGTGTTCAACGTTTGTTCTGTCTTCTCCAGCTTATGGTGTTGACATGTTGAACACGATTGGCTACATTTATGTAAGACAAGCAGCCAAAGATTTGGGTAAGAAAGCTATGTACTTGGGCGTGCCGTTTGTTGCTGAATGGTTTAGAAACAAAGGGCATTTCATCAAGTCCCAGGTTACTGCAGCAACAGGTTAGTAGAGAAGACTTGTTATAGTAAGGATGCCATGCCCTTGTGTTGCCAGTTTTTGTCATGATTCCCCTGTATCCCTTCGTTCTCCTGGAACAGTATTCACGAGTTGTCATTTTGTCCTAAATTAATAGACTTGTCTGGTTTAGCCTTTTCAATTGACATCTCTATTGAACGAGAATAGTCCTAAAGCCCCCGTCATTAATTAAGAGAGGTATTTTGATAATCTTGAAGTAAGAAAACTAGTAGTTGCGGTGGGGATGAAAGTTTGTCTGGTACTTGATGACCGGATGCTTACTTCCTGGATTACATCTATTTTTAAATGGTATCAAGTGCAACCGACTTGCAAACCAAACCATTTTGAGCACTTCTTCCATTCTGCAATCTGCATCTCGTATTGCATATTTCCCTAGGAGTGAAATTAGGAGACTTTGGTGTGTTTGTTTAAGTCTTCTAGGAACAATAATCTTAGTACAAGTAAAAGTAAACAAAAATTGTGTTTGGTATGCAATGCTATTTGATGGAATGTAAGATATCTTTTAGTAATGAAGAAATAATTATGCAATTGTAATAGTCTGTTTATTATAAAAAAGCACGGGGTTTTGGAATGACCATTATGGGTATAATATTAAGTCTAATAAATATATGTCATCTGCCTGGTTGGTCTCAGGTAACTTAAATCTATTTCAACAAGGAAATGAGTAGGTATTTACTTTTTTGTGCTACTTAGCTATGTGAAAGACGCACATCATTTGCATTCAACTTATCTGTACATCGTTTCTCATTTGCTTACAGAAGGCTTTTTTTATTGTCTTGTGCCTGGTTGGTCTCAGGTGCCTTTGCGTTAATCCAATTGCAAGAGGATATGAAAAAGCAGCTAAATGCAGAAGGAAATTATACTGAGGAAGAGCTTGAAGAATACATGCAGTCTCATAAGAAGCTAATGATCAACTCCTTGTGGAAGCTTAATGTAGCTGACATTGAGGCTACTCTTTCCCATGTTTGCCAGATGGTAGTTTGCAAAGACTTGTTAGATTCTCCATTCCTCAACACTCCAGTTGGTGTTAGGTCCTCTCCTTTGTCATAATATGTTTCGGAAATGTTAGGTTCTTCAAGAGAATGGTGTCAGTAAAGAGGAGCTTCGTTCTCGAGCAAAGGGATTGAAGACTCTTGGCAAAGTCTTTCAGGTACGATTTGTATTTGCTGTTTGTGCCCGCTATCTACTTATAAAACTTGAATGCAACTTAAGATTAATTCTAGCACCCTTGGTACTGTCATCAAGAGAGTAACGTCAACCAATGGAAGTGAGGGTGAAGCTGATGTAGGCAGTGCCCTGCATAAGTTGCGTGGAAGTGAATCAAGCCATGAAGCATTTTCTCCTGGCTCATCGCCAAGGTCTGGAACAACTGAAGGATCATCTTACAGCTCACTGTTCTCACAGGTATATTAGCTGCCCTAGTATTGAGTGCATGCATTTTTACAGTATGGTATATGGGATAATGAGGTTGCACAGATATATCATCTGTAAGAAAGTCCATGCATAATGAGTTATTTCAAAACTCAATTGAAAGTTGGGATAGATAGATTTATAATTATATATTTCGGATACATATATTTCAATTTTTATTTTTGTGCCAACTAATGATGGATACCTTGACACAAATGTTTTTTTTAATACGCTTTCCTGCATTCAAATTGCAAACAACCTCTAAGTATTTTAATAGATGGAAACAATGGAAGTGATTGAACTCGAGAGTTCCATTTCGAACTTTAAAGTATATGGTTTCTTGTTTATGGAATCGACCTTTGTCCTTTGTGTTCTTCTTTTCCTTGAACAAGTTGCAAATGGTTTTAAAATAGTTTTCAACAGTTGATCTGGACAGGCCGTAAGTCATTGGCCATGGTCGATTGAACCTTAAGTCTCTGTCGGTCTCAATTGACTGTCACTCTAGCCGGCTCAACCGCTCAGGGTTATCGTAGTTTTGACTTTCAAATCAGGAAGCTCTGGCAAACGTGCAGTTCATTGTTTAACCAGCTGTCCTCATTTTATGTTACTCATGATGGATCTCAATATATGCTTTTAAATGCATTTAATATGCAGGATATTGCTTATATATAGCTTTTCCTTTAGGCTTACATTTTGTAGTCGATCTCTAGTAAGTAAGTGATAGTGATTCTAGATCTATCTGTCTAATTATTTGTGAATTTGAATGGCTGAGGACCGGTCCTAGTAGGCTCTTTGTTGCTTTATTTTCTCTTCCCTATCAAAGCTTCCTATTAGTGGCATCAGTTCTAAACTTTTCATCCTGTCTCGTGTTTTGTCTGTGTCTCCCAAAGCCCTTCCTTTTATTAAATTCTCAGAAGTAGTTTGTTTCGTGTTCAGATTTTCCAATCCTTCCTTCCCCTGGACAAGGATTTGACTAATTTTATCTTCTTTCGGCCTTATTTGCCTGAAAATTACCCTACTGACCAGTCAGCATAACTTGCGATGAAGCGATACGTAAACCTCCCCTTGAGTTGGGTAAGTGTTGATGAATTGTGGTTGTGCACTCTGGAAGGGTCACCCTTTGAAGAAGGGATAGTTGGCCGTTCCTTCCATCTGTTCTTCCTACTGGCTATCTTCCATTTTCTTTTCAATGATTTAAATGCCGGTCTTCCTCTATCAATGATTGATATTATCATTCTCTTTTATAAAACATTTGTCGTAGACCAATTTGAACAGCCACGTTAGGGAAATGACTACATTTTGTTGGAAGGAACAACTATCGTAGGTCGTTTGGAAGTTGTGATTGTTAGAGTTGTGTTTGTTGAATACATGTATTGTGCATAATACAATGTTTGGAAGTTTAAAAATGTAAAGCAATGCATGCATTGTTTTAGGTAGGTCCCACCAACAATCACAAAAAATGATGCATTATACAATCTCAACTAAAAGTTGAGATTGTTGTGATTGTTGGTTTTAGATTTGTGTCAACTTTTTCTTTCCATTTATATCCCTAATAGTTTTTGTCTTATTCTAAAAGTTGAGGGTAAATGTGACATTTCCCCATAAAATAACTTTATGTAAATCAATGCATAAAGTAGAATCTCAACAACCAAACAATGAATTGTTAAAATGCATACATTGTATCAATACATGCATTTATATTATGGTGATTCATTACAATGCAACGATTTAACATTCACAGCTTCCAAACGACCCCGTAAAAAATGTTGTTATGTGTCACAGTTGCATCGTGACAATATCAATCATTAATATGCGTGATGTTGGTTTAACATGCCTTAAGATGACACAGTAATCTCGTTGGTTTACTTGTATCTTTGATATACATTTTTGGGATGTCTTGTCTAACCTCATTTCATTACTGGAAAACTTGGGGGACATTGTAGAGCCCGTACGTGGCGTCTCCACAGGTTGGTGGTGGTCAGTCTAACTACGACTTCCCGAGGCCAACAGCACCTCCCGGCGCGAATAGATGTTCTTCAACAGCACCATCTCTCGCCAGTCGTTGAATGTACTGATGGTATATGTTTGCTATGGTGTCAAGAGTACATATAGTACAGCAAGGTTGCTGATGCAAATATTCTGAACGGGCATGCCTTCTGTTTGAATCCAGCACTGGCGGGGTGTAGGTGTGAAAAGCATTATGAGCCCAATCCGAGATCCCAGAAGCTGGATGGAAATAGTGTAGTAGCGTTTTTGTTGGTAGCAATGGCAGGCAGCAGCTGCGTGCATGTAGTTCTATTTGACTGACTAGTGGAATGTGTATTATTTGCATCGCTGTAATATTGTTTGTGAGTTTTGAGCAGAGTATATTATTGTCTGATTCGTTTTTCCATGTGGCCGTCTTGAGGGTTGTTCTTTTGGCTTGTAGGAAAAATGGTCAACAAACTATGAAGCAGACGGCATTGAATTGTTGTATATACATTATTAGCAATGACATATGTTGCATCTTCAAAAATGATTGTTTATGCTAAAGGTAATATAGCCTAACCGTGAAACTGTTGGTTTGGTTGACTCAAGTGCGACGAAGTCTCCTGATGTTGTGTCTTCGAATGCAAAAATTTGGGACGCGCTTGAAGCTTCTTGTTTCCATGGGGAAAAAGAAAACAAAGCAGAAGATGCAAAAAGGAGGGAAGGAGGCGGCCATCCACCATTCACCACCGACACGGTGCTAGACAGAGATGCGGGAGGTGGATATGCTGTCTTTGTGCTGTTTCGTCAGTCTCACATGATGTTTTTGCCTTAATTTGTCACGCTAATTAATTTGATCTGCCTGCCAGTGGTGTGCAATTATGTACAGTTAGGTCGTCGTAGAAATCAAGGACCGTGAAATCGTACTGGAGATTATATCGAAAAAAATACTAATGATATTTAACTATGATTCAACCGTTTTTTATCGTTAAAATCACTTGTCAATTTGACTCTGGTATTCGATATTTTCAGTCGGATCGATATAAATAAAAACAAGGTTAGAACAGGAGAAGATGCAATGTGTTGGTTCTTTCCCCTGTATTTTACCTGGAGGGTAGCGAGAAAAGGACACAGGACTTACAAGTTAAAAGAGCAAGATTAATATTTTTTTGGTAAGGATTAGGGATTGGGATTTGAGTTGAGAGGAGGATTGACATTTCCTTCTTTCCTTTTCTTTTTTTGTTGAATGCTCCCTTTCTTTCACTTCTGCCGCTTGCTGCCGTCTTCGTCGCCGTAACCCCACCGTCTGGACGGACAAAAACCCGCCATCTCACGCAACCTTAGCTAACGCCGTCACGCCTGCAGCGCACCACAACTCCAATTGCCTCTGCCTCCTTCCTTCCTTCTCTCTCTCTCTCACCTCATTGATCAGTTTCCAGATCTAGTCTAGTTTTTCACTTTCTTTCTTGTCATCTTTCCTTTTCCTGACTCCTCCAGCTCGCCTTCCTTCCCTGCCCTAAACAAATACAAATTATACATGTATATTCATTCATTCGTTCTCTTCTCAAATTATTTTTATCCCTTATATCTTGGAATTGAATGGAATTGAACTCCTCACTCCTCCTCGATTAGTTCATCAAAGCAAGCAAGCGAGCAAGCACTTTGCTCGAGTCCACTGACTGGCATTTTAAATTCCCAAATCCCACCCTCCTTCGCCTGCATTGCTACTTTCGAGTTTCCCCTTTTCTCCCATCTCTCCAACGAACCTGAATTGCCTGTTTCCCCAGGCAGGCAGGCAGGCAGGCAGAGCTTGGCTCTTCCTTTCCATCTCCCAGCTTCTGCCCAAGAGTTTTCTGCAATTTCCAGGGGGTGGGGGAGAGGCAGATCTGCTATTGGTGAATACCCTCTTTCTGGTTCGGCGGATCCTAGGGAGGGAATTCTATGGAGTCTGACGGTAAGAGATCCGCAGTTTCCGATGTCGGAGCATGGGCCATGAACGTCATCAGCTCCGTCGGCATCATCATGGCCAACAAGCAGCTCATGTCAGCCGGCGGCTATGGCTTCGCCTTCGGTCCGTTCCCCAAATCAATTCTTTTTTACCCTTAATTCTTCTGTTGCAAAAGGTTTTGCTTGTTTACCAGATCTTGCCCCATTAATCTGTCTCTGCTCTGAATCTCTTCTTCTTATCTGAATTCAGCAACCACCTTGACGGGTTTCCACTTCGCGGTCACGGCGCTGGTAGGCCTGGTCTCCAATGCCACGGGATTATCCGCATCCAAGCATGTCCCCATGTGGGAGCTCCTCTGGTTCTCCATCGTTGCGAATATGTCCATCACTGGCATGAATCTAAGTCTCATGCTCAACTCTGTCGGCTTTTACCAAGTACGTTTCTTGCTTTCGATTCCTCCCAACTCGTTATTCTTGCTGAGACGTCCTGAATCTTACTTCCTTCCTTCCTGTGTTTGCTACTTTACAGATTTCTAAACTCAGCATGATCCCAGTTGTCTGCGTCATGGAGTGGATCCTTCACAGCAAGCACTACTCCAAAGAAGTCAAGTTCGCCGTTATGGTGGTTGTGGTGGGCGTTGGTGTTTGCACAGTGACTGATGTCAAAGTTAATGCCAAAGGTTTCCTCAGTGCTTGTGTCGCTGTCCTCTGTACATCCTTGCAGCAAATCGTGAGTATTTCCTTTTACTTGCCATTTCTATACCAACTGTTTCGGATGCACCCACATTTGCTTTGCCTTCCCTTGGATTCCCTACCATTGTTGGCCTGCCAAACTGCCCATCACTTAACAGGAGTTTGGGTAATCTGAATTGACATTCTGTATCGAAGGGATCAAATAACCGATCTTTAACTCCTAAAATGGATAATCTGGCTCATATTTGGGTGTACCCTATTGAGGAATTAGACCCCAACTTGTAATATTCTGATACGCAGCCTTTGGAATCCTCAAAATGATTGCTTGATTTGAAAGACTGTTGAGGCACATTTTCTTCCCTGTTTTCCTTGGAAAGCAAGGCCCGAGGCTTTTAGTTCTCGTGTAGTCTGGCTCGCCAGATCGGTTATCATGTCGGCCACCTGGTATGAATGAAGTTAATGACGATAAAGTGACCGACCTTCATCAAAAGATCACGACATGGACTGATATTTCAAATAGTACTGGTATTCTGTTAGAGTAGTAGCAACTTGCTAGCTAACCCTGTCAAGAGGAGCAATCAAGTGCTGGAAACACTCTACCATAGCTTAACAATACCTTGCCGATGCATGGTTATTTGGACTGTGAATATTATTAATAGATGAATTACTTGGGTCTATTCTGGATTTGTAGGAGTATTATCTGGTTCTTTGTACTGTGTATTTAACAACTGTTTTCACTTGTGCGACAGACCATAGGTTCCTTTCAGAAGAAGTACTCCATTGGTTCCTTTGAGCTGCTGAGCCGGACAGCTCCAATTCAGGCGGTCTCCCTTCTTGTTTTCGGACCTTTTATCGACTATTACCTTAATGGGAAGTTTATATTGAACTACCAGATGACGTCTGGAGCCATTGTAAGAACCGTTTCTCTTGCCTCAGTTTAGTGCACGCTAAAACTGTCTATTAGTCTTCCAGCAACTATTATTATCTAATAAAAACAAATTTATACGTGTGACTTGTGCAGATCTTTTTAGTTTTATCATGCTCCCTGGCTGTGTTCTGCAACGTGAGCCAGTATCTCTGCATTGGAAGATTCTCTGCAGTTTCGTTTCAGGTCTTAGGCCACATGAAAACAGTGTGTGTCCTCACATTGGGGTGGCTGCTCTTTGAATCTGAGTTGACTTTCAAGAACATAGCCGGGATGTTGATTGCAGTCCTCGGTATGGTGGTCTATAGTTGGGCGGTGGAAGCCGAAAAGAGTTCCGGCAGCAAGATACAGTCCGCCAAGAACAGTCTTACCGAGGAGGAGATCATACTTTTGAAGGAAGGGGTGGAAAGCACACTGATTAAGGACGTTGAACTTGGCGCGTCCAAAGGGTAGCTCGGATAATAGGGAATCGGATTGATTAGCATCTCACTGTGATCAGCTGAGACTTCCTCACCGAGGATCTCAGGAGAAATCACGATCTATTTATTTCAAACGATTTGTTCTTTTATCGAGTTGCTTTTGATCTAGTTTTCATTTAAATTATACAGTTGTAATTGCCCCGTGCAAAGTGGATAGACCCTGCTCCTGGAAGCGGGATAAAGAGGAATGTGAACGATATGTTGTTCAGAAGAGATCCCTGGTTTTCTCATTCATGGTGTTTCAATGGGTGGGGATGGTAACCAGTCTGTTCAATACTTCAATTCCTTGAACAGCCCGAATCACAATCAAGGGCAGAATAAGATCATGTGCCACCATAAACTGAGTAGATACTTCTCATGCTTACATGATATAAACTTATCTTCTGAGTTCACATCACATTCCAGTAGACCACTTAAACAGGTGAAAGTGAAATCTTAGTCGCACCTCTTTTCTTTTGCCCTGCATTTCCCCTACGCATGCACGTCGATGAACCAAGCGGTTGATTGGTCACCCTTCTCATGCATTTCTCCTCATTCAATTCGGAATGCTGGAGTCAAATAGTGAGGGGGAAATGCACCCAATAGTGGTCAATGGTGTGAGACACATGTATCCTTGTGAGTGTGAGATGAACTATTTCATATTCGGTTATGTACCAAGTTGGTTCTTGCTCACCAATTATGTTAACTAAACCGAACTTGGTACATTGGCGGATTAAGGAAGCATAACATAAGCTTGAAGCTTCCATTTGGCCGAATAGAAGAGAGCAAAAGGTAACTTTCCTCTCGTTTCTTGGTTAACAAGAAAGAGGTTAAACTAGTGGAAGTTAGCCAAAACTCACTTACTTTAGTATCCAATTAAGAATAGCGAAAACTAGCTTACCTCATCCAACCAAGGAGAGCCAAGGTAAGGCCTATCTTTAGGCGATTGGGTGCAAACAAAAGGCTGCAACCTAACCTTTGTTTCTTTCCTTTAGTCTGTGAGACTGTGACCAAATGGGATGAACCCAAAGAGGGGAAAGCTCCCAAAGTTCTATAAATAGGGACCCCTCCTTATTTCAACAACAACACAAGTTCTCACATTTTTGGAGCCAATCAAAATGAATTTTCTCTACAGATTTGAGATCTCTCGGGAGAACTTCATCGCCTTTGAGGTTTCATTGTGTTGACGAGGAAATCCCTGACCATATTCATGTCGACGAGAGCAAAGGCTCCCTTCTCTCCCTTGTTATGGCGTGTTTCCTCAACCACACTCAATCGCTCGAAGAACAAACCCTAAACTTTTCTGAGAAGTCACCCCAGTATACAAGCTATATCAAGTTTTGCACCTCGACAATCTTCTAGATTGTGAGTCCCGTACTTGACCTCGACAAGCTGGCATGTCAAGTATCTCACTAATTTTTGGAACTAGTATCTGATTCCGGTGTCAGAGGGTCCCCTAACCGTTCACGGCTGGGGTTTTGGCATTTTCCCAAAGAATGAGTCTGGCACCAAAACCCCTGACTAAAAGGAGTGTTTGAGGTAAATGTCGAAAGTTCTTCTGAAAGACCCTGGAATGAGGCTGAAAAAAAAAGATAAGAATTTTATTATTGGAAATTAACTGAATTTTATTTTGGTAGCACTTTTTTTATTTGTCAAGTGTGGCTTTGAGCTAGGTAGGTATGAAGTTGTAAAGATGATATTTTCTTTTTAATATAATAAATTTTTCATAAAAAGAAAAATGGTGCGACCAACAACAAACGAAAGAAGGAGGTCAAAATACGTGACAAACAACATCTAGAAGCAAAAATGAGATGAAAACAATGTAGATAACAGAAGGTGTGACGACGATTATGTTCGACCAATAATAATATCTATCTACTTTTTACTCAAAAAGGAACAAAAGGGTTTGTTTAAAGTTAGCCGACAATAAATTCATTTTCCTTAAACTGTTCATGGGTCTGAAAAGATTAATCCTCGAGTACTCCACATGGGATCAACTTACACTTCGTTCAATAGTCGAACAAGTTAACTTATGTTCAATTTAAGGATTCTTTGCTCCTTTGAAGTCAATTTGAATTTGTAGATGAAGTGAAAATAGTCTAATTTACTCGCTCATCATATTCACATCCACTTCTCCAACTTCTCATATAAGTGCATGTATAACATAATTTGATGGTGAAAAAGAAAACCAACTGATGATCGTTTCTTTAGTAAAAATGTTCTACTTTTGGTACCCATCTAGTTAGTAGAATTAGTTATGTGATCAATTGGACAAATATCTTATACATAAGTGATCATTGAGTGATTTCACCTGCTACATCTCCATAGCGGTACACTCTACACTCAACTATAGATCGGATTCTGTTATGAACTGTTGGGGTGCAATTTAGTTATTGTGCTCACACGGCTGAGATGGTCGCGCCATCCTCACTAGTCAAAATTGACGGCTCATAATGGATGGATTTGAGAAGGGCTCAGATGGGAGAGGAGTTGAGCCCATTTGTGAGAAGTCAAACCAACTGATGTAGTTAGTCACGTATGGATGATTTTGGGGGGGAAGTCATCTAGTGAGAGAAATTGGCATTTGATGCCAACCCATCAACCTTGATACTAGTTGATGACAGCATGGATATTAGTCGTCACAACATGAATACTACTTTAGAACAATATGAATACTAGTTCATTGCAAGTTGAATACTACTTTAGAAAAACATGAATACTAGTTTACCACAACTTGAATACTAGTTCATGACAACATGTATACTAGTTCATCTAAACTTGCATATTACTTCAGAACAATATGAATACTAATTGTTTATCACAACTTGAATATTACTTCAGAAGAGAATGATACCAGTACATCACAATTTGAATACAATTTCATATAAACTTGGATACTACTTTAGAACAACATGAAACTAAGTGTTCATTAAATGAAAAAAGAGAGGCCGATGGTAAGACAACCTAGTTGGTAAAGGGCTGGGTTTCCGGCTTGGGATGTGACAAGGTCCCAGGTTCGAATCCCAATACCGCCTTCTTGGTGTTCCTGGAGACACCCTTGGTACAGGAGATGAAGCTCCCCGATGGCAGTAGCACAATGCCGGGCACTGCGCCGGGACAAAGTCCTTGATGGTTAGTATGCATGTACCCCAGGTTTAGTAGGCTCCGCTGTCACTCATATGACATTTGGGTTGTTGATGTTCCTGGGTTATCAAATAAAAAATTAAATGAAAAAAGAGAGACGAGTTGATGAAGTGAGAGAGAAGTCTGCCAAAGCATTAAATGAAGTGCTTTTCTTTCTCACATGTCTGTCAAAAACATCAAATGAGGGTTTCTCTCTCCAAGTGTGCACTTCTTTCATGGATGGCTGACTCCCAACTTTTATGCCTCAACTCCTCTCTATAAGAAGCCATTCCTAGAGCCACATAGTGTTGGGTAGATCAACTAGTTAATACTTAATATTGAGGATCTTGAAGATTCGAACACACGTTCACTTGGTCAAACCTGCTTTGGCACCACGTGATAAACCAACTGGTTCCAATAAGTCAAGTTGTTAGGAGAAGGTTAATTATGATTTTTATACTGGTTCCAAACCGTTTGGTTCCTACTTTATTTTCTAACAAAACCAGTTAGTGCTTCCATTTGCGGACAAATACGATCATCCTGCCTATGCCTTATCCCTACCCCACAAATCAAATTCCCCATCACAATCGCGATATTGGTGCAAAAGGATCTCCCGTTTCTGTAAAGAGCAAACGAGACGTTTATGCACAAAAAGGAATTGTGTGTTGTCGTTACGAGTTTGGTATTTGAATATGTTATTGCTGGTTTCTATTGGTTGATTTGCTCATCTCTCTTGGATTGACGATTGCACAAAGAGAACAAAATATCAAAACCCGGGAGAGAGAGAGAGAGGGATTGACGTTAAAAATCCAGAACTCATAGCTGGGAAGCTAACAAAAAACCCTTCACCACTGCTCCGATCATCGAGCTGGTGCCAACAGAGAGTGCAACTAGATAAAAAAAACACAATTGCTACTTGATGAAGGTGAAAAATCGTCTAGTTTTAGTGGATATAATTGTCACGATTGGTACTTCGTTCGTTGTCATAAAGGTTTTAGCTTAGTGCTTTTTTGTAATTGGTCAGGCTCTATAAAAGGGACATGTCGGCATGTCCTGTAACGGAAACAACAACAAAATAACAGAACAAAATTGATTGCTTCCTCTCCTCTCCTTTGTTCTCTCCTTCTTCTTCCTCTTCTTCATCAATCCCCCTTTTCCGTCTCAAATCCTTCCTTCTTCTCCCATCAACCAGTCATGAACATTAATCACTATAAACCAAGTGAAGTACTTTGATCTTTTAGCATGGTATTACGTATGGCAGAGGCAACATGTACTTGACACTCATGTATTGCTTAGTTTTTCTAGGAGGTGCCACTAAAGTTGAATGTGAACATCTAACGGCGATTCTTACCCTCTACGAGGAAGAGTCGGGAAAAAGGTTAATTTGGCAAAATTAGAGCTTTCATTTAGTCATAATGTTGAAGTTAGTACAAGAGAGGATCTAGTTGCTCTCATGGGCATGAAAACAGTGGATTTATCACATAAACTATTTTGGAATGCCTATAGTTACTAGAAGACAAAAGAAAGTTGTGGAAAACTATGTTGCTCTCTTATGAAGAGAAGGAGGTTCTTATTAAATTTGTAGTCCAAGCTCAGACAACCTATGTCATGCAAGTTTTCTTAGTTCCCATCTCGGTCATACAAGAAATTCAGAGTTTATTATCTAATTGTTGGTGTGGGCAGAGCAATTCATAATGCAGAACACACTAGATAATTTGGCAAGAACTATGCTCTAGGAAATCAAATCAGGGTTGTGATATATAAGTCTACATTAGTTCAATCTAGCATTGTTGGGCAAACAAATCTAGAACTTTATACAACACCTACATCTCTAGTAGCTCGGGTTATGAAAGTCAAGTACTTTCCTAATCGAGACCTTCTTGAATGTTATAATCCAAGCAATATTTGGATAAGTAATATGGCACCCAAGGATTTGGTGATGAAGGGCCATAGATGGACGATTGGAAATGGTGTTAAGGTAGATAGATGGCTGGATAAATAGGTGCCCACATTTGAAATTTACAAAGTGGACTCACCTGTATCCCTGATTGGCTCATCTACCTCGGCCAATGACTTGTTGGACTTGAAAAAAAGAACTTGGAATCAGGTGATTCAACATACTCGCTTTATACCTCAAGATCGACATAGAATCCTTAAAATTCCAATCCCTGGACAACTAAAAGAGGATAATTGAGAATAGAGTTTGGAGAAGCTGGGCAAATACTCAGTGAAATCAGCCTACCGTTTACCTATAGAAAAACGAGACAGAGAGAATGGGGAGCTTTATACTCCAATTGACTGGGACAGGCTCTAGAGCTCAAAATTTCCTCCTAAGATCAAAGTCTTCTCTTGGAAATGGCCTAAGAACGTTCTAACAATACGAACAAGGCTTGGTCTAGTGGACAAAAAAAATGAACCTATATCACCTTTATATAAAAAAATAACGTTCTAACAATAAGAGCCAATATTGTGGATATAAAAAAGGCCATGATGAATGCCCTTCTGCAGGCAAAAGGAGACTGAGAGGCATATTTTTCAAGATTATGACTAAGTAAGACGGGTATGGCGACCTAGCTCCCTACATAATCTATCTAGCTCCCTACATAATCTATTTTCAAAGGGTCAAGATTGTACTTGTGAAGAAAGGATGGCTGAATTGCAGGTGTCGAAAGGAGATGATCAAATTGGTTGGTTCCTTGTTGCGCTCTGGTTCATCGATGAGGAGAGGAACAATCATTTATGGAATAAAAAGAAACTTGAAGAGTTTGAGATAATAGTCAAAGAGAAACGTTGGATTCTGGCATACCTGGAATATCATCAAGCTTGATCAATGGAGAATCACAAGCGTGAATACAGGTGGAAGCCATCAGAGAACAATTTTTAAGATCAATGTTGAAGCTACATGTCTCGAGGGAGCTGGTATGAGCCTCAGAGTGGTGGTCAGGGACAAGGATAAGGTTTTTCGATTTGTGTCTGTGAGGGGATATCGGGTGAAGTGGAGACCAGAATTAGATGAAATTCAAGCTATTCGGTTTGGATTAGAAGTGGCGGAGGAATATGACTTATTGTCGAGAGAAATTGAGATTGATTGCGTGAGGGTGGTTCAGCTGTTGCAGAGGAAGGAAATGTCTTTGTTTGAGGAGGGAGAATTATGTGAGGAGATCAAAGATAGTATAAGCGATTGGGGTCAGTTTCAGTCCAGTTCTCGGGTCTCGCTACCAATCAGGTGGCCCATATTATGGCGCACACCGGTTATAGTTGAGACTAGCAGTATAATTGGGCTTCTAGACCCCAATCTTTTTAGTTCCTATGTACTATTTCCTCTTAATGAAATCATACAAGCCTTTTATTAAAAGAAAGTGACTATCATTTATAGGTATATGTCTAAAATTGGTTTGGAGGTTAAGATTCTCCAAATTGATGCATTTAATCAATTTGTGTACTGTAATTTGATGTGTTGATTAAATGGATGGATTTGAAAAATACATTGTTTGGAGCAATGCTGTCAAAGCCGAGCCGGAGTATGACCCGGTAACGTGAACGGTTCGGTCATTAGTGGTCCAACCGACATTAAACCGTTTAAAAACCGTTTGAGAACCGGTAGTCCATTTCGTAAGCAAACTAGCAGCCCCTATCAGGAAATCTCAAAATCTACGCTAATCACGTCAAGATCAGACAAACGACTACTAGATCCACCACTAATCAAATACCCAGTAAACCAATCGCCACCGACAGCCCAATAATACCCACACTGGAGAAATGCTAACATAGAAATCCCCCAGAACCAACGGAAAGAGTGAAGAAGAAGAAGAAGGGAGATTAATTACCCCGCTGTCGGATGGCGCGCTGCTTGCGGCGACGGGACGGAAGCGTTGGGGCGATGGTTGACGGCGGCAGGGTGGCGCCGCTCTCCCTCTGTCGTCTGTTCTACTTCTAGGTCGAAGATGAAGAAATAAAATGAAAGTTAGGGTTTTGTTTGGCTGCCCCATTCCACGATTGGGCTTTTTTTTTTTAGGGTAAACCAAATGGCCGAACCGCGCGACCGGCTTGAATGGCTCGAGCGGTTAATCGCTTCGGCCGCTCGCCGGCCGCTATATAAAACCGTGGCGGTTAAATAGCTGATCCGAGCCGGTTTTACGACCGGGTGGCGGCTTTGGCGGTCCGGCCGGCCGGCTCGGTTCGGCTTTGACAGCACTGGTTTGGAGGTTAGATTTTGTTTTTGTTATAATGAAAAGTTGGGTAGACAATCTATGGTTAACAATCTCACCATTTGATAGAGATTGATAATCACTTATTTTCATGGTCCATTAAACCGTACCGTACCGACGGTTCAACCACAAAATACCAGTATCGGAGGCTTAACAGATAGGCGGTATTTAACGGTACTAACGGTTGAACTACGGTTAAACCACGGTTTTGTCATAAAATACCCTATCGCTGACTTTTCCGGTACGGTCTCCGGTACGGTTTCATGGACCATGCTTATTTTCGGTAATTATTGGTGGACCCATAAAAAATATAATACATGTACTCTATTTTCAAATTTTTTTTTAAAACCTTATCATTATTTAAAAATGGGTAAATGCCACATTTAGTCACTGAAATTACTAAATTGTGTCATGTTTAGTCACTAAAAAAATTTAATATCAATTTTGGTCACTCGAAAAACTAAAACATACCACATTTAGTCACTCTCTCATTAGCCTCCTTCAAACTCAAATCAATCGAATTACTGAAACATATCACATTTAGTCACAACCTCTCAACGTTGATAAATCTACAACATAAAGTGTCAGCTCGTGGGTTTGCGCAGGAGGAAAGGTCGGGGAAGCAAGCAAGGGAGTTAGTGCGCTTGAGGCCCTTCTCTTCTTCCTGATGATGAAATTCGAACCCTCTTCTCATCAAATTTCTTCTCCTTCTTCGTAATGTGCTTTCAATGTCTGTAATGATCTAAGCTCCATTTTGGATCGCGAAAACAAACTCCGACAGGTGAAGAAAGCAAGAAGCACACAAAAAGTGTATAAAGCAAAGCGAGTGAAGCTGGGAGGGTAGTAAAAGGCATTGCGAGGGCGGTTTGCGGCGGCAAAGATCAGCTTCTACTACCCCTTCTCCTCCTACTATTCACTCACTCGACCTTTTAGGACTTTCACCATTCAGATAAAGCGCTCCAAGGAGCAGCAGGAGCCGCCGCCTCCCCAAAGTAGTGCAGTGCGAGAAGCTCTTTCCCTTAACAGTAGCACTCACCCAGAAGGAGAAGAAGAAATTACTCGCTTGGCGGCAACTTGGAATTGTGACTTCGGAAGACGATTATGGGGTCGGAGCAGAATCGATTCCCTCTGCAAGAACGGGTATGCCCTCTTTCTACCTAGCTTTTCTTGAGCTGTTCTGCTGGTCAGATCTGGATCTGGACTGGGACTGTGGTGCTTGTTTTGCTTTAAGCCCCTTTTGGGGCTGCACCGCTGCAGTGTGGTTTGGGAATTTAATTTTCAGCCTCAGATCTATGGGTCCTGTCCTGTTTACTGCAATGTGGATGTGAATAATCTGCTCTCCCTGCATTGTTTCCTGAGGTGGTGGTGTTCACTGTTTATACTGTATCACCGGCGCCGTCTTGCTGCAGTTTCGTGATGGTATTTGATTGGCTCAGTCAGATGGAATTTTTAGTATTATGGTATGGGAACAAACCCAACTCCTCGTAATCTCCCCTCTCCGACCTCCATTTTCATGGAGAAGCCAACGCTCCTGTGTCCTTTTCAAGTTCCTTCTTCTAAATTCTGTATTTGCCCCCGTTTGTTTCTGTGTTTTCTTGCAAACAGACACATCCTCCTCCCTCTAAAGAAACCCTACGCGTTCCCCAAGTGTGACGGGAACAGGAACAAAACAACAACAACAAAGAGACGAAAATATTACTTGGGTTGTGTCACAATTTTGTTTTGAGCAACTTGGCCTGATATGGATGTTTGTACGCATGCGTGATGCTACCTGTCATCCTGACTGTAGCTTCTTCAGCAGAACCTAGGCTACTTGCTACTAGCTTGCTTCCCAACTAAAACTATGGTGTAGTTGGAATTTTCTCCCACCCTCTTCTCCTGTTGAAGATGAGGTGGTGTTCTGCATTAGCCTGCAACTGATTAGCTTCCGGTGGTGATTTCTCAGTTGCCATTTTAAACTATGTATGCAATGAATTCAATGCCTCGCATTTCGCTGTCTATGCTTTGTGACTTTGTCTAAGATAGTTTTGCCCTATCTTACGAGTTACGACCCAAAATTTTGATATCTAGTGGGTGGTCTAGCTCAAGAAAGCACGCCAGGGAAAATTTCAGGTTTATTGTGTAATATCTTTTGAGGAATCTATACACTGATTTTATAATCCGAGTAGAAGATGCTACTCTATGGAAACATATGTAAATTAAATAGATTTCTGGTAGCTCCATTGTCTAAATGTTTCAGCTGTATAACGTGCTGGTGCAATGTTTGATCTATCTCTCTCACCGCACATCCATTCATCCATCTGCACATAAGCATGAGGCCCAGCATGCATGGACAGGCTTCCACTTTTTACAAGCAGACTAAAGTGTCTCTAAGTTTGTATATTCCTTGAGGAATGCTGTCTTTGTTTCCACGTTTAACCATTGCATGTCCAAGGAAACGGCAGGTATGCCCAACTATCTGGTCGAGCAGTGAGTCTAGCTCGTCTTTGTTGGTTTTGCCGAAGATTTCACAGCTCAAATCATGGGGCATGACAATGCAAATTCTGAACTATGAAGTTTTGGGAGTTAGCTATTTTATTTTAGTAATTATTTTGCTTATATTTTGCAGCGAAAGAGATGGGGAGGATGCTTGGGATCCTTGTCTTGTTTTGGTGCTCAGAAAGGCGGGAAAAGAATTGTCCCTGCATCTCGAATTCCTGATGGCAATGCTTCCGTTACTCAGCCTAATGGACCTCATCAAGCAGCTGGGATGGCCAACCAAGCTACCACAATATCTCCTTCCCTTCTAGCTCCACCTTCTTCACCAGCGTCATTTTCAAATTCTGGTCTCCCTTCTACTGCTCAGTCTCCTAATAACTTTCTCTCCTTATCTGCCAACTCACCTGGCGGCCCTTCCTCCAGAATGTTTGCCACTGGGCCTTATGCTCATGAACAACAATTGGTTTCCCCTCCTGTTTTCTCCACTTACACAACTGAGCCTTCCACTGCTCCTCTAACTCCTCCTCCTGAGTTGGCTCACTTAACCACACCTTCTTCCCCAGACGTGCCATTTGCCCAATTTCTCTCATCCTCTGCAAAATTCAAAAGCTCTGGAAAGGGCAGTTATCATCTTGCTGCAAATGATCTGCAGGCGGCTTATGCACTCTATCCTGGAAGTCCTGCCAGCAGTCTTCTTTCACCTAAATCAAAGCCCTCGCGTGACTGTTTGTCATCATCCTTCCCCGAACGAGAGTTCCCCCCTCATTGGGATCCTTCTGTTTCCCCACAAAATGGTGAGTGCTCGAGGAGTGATTCTGGGAGGCTTTGTGAGCATGATCCTACTTCTCCCTCCATGGTGTCTCAAGATTCCAATTTCTTCTGTCCTGATACATTTGCAAGATTCTACCTGGACCATAATCCACTATTCCCTCATACTGCTGGGAGGTTGAGTGTTTCTAAAGATTCAGATGTCTATCCTACTGGTTCGAATGGACATACAAACAGTAGGAATAACAAGAGTCCCAAGCAAGATGTTGAAGAAGTAGAAGCTTACAGAGCATCCTTTGGGTTCAGTGCTGATGAGATCATCACTACTACTCAATATGTGGAGATATCTGATGTCATGGATGACTCCTTCACCATGAACCCGTTCACTTCAAGCAAAAGTAACTTTGGAGATGTCTCAGAAAATGTGAACGAGAGTGAAAGCCAGAAGTTATTAGGAACACAGAGAAAGCTGCCAAGACAACCGAGTCTGAAGTCGAAACCCGATGTGAATACTGAGGAAGGCTGTGAAGTTCTCTCTTCTGATAGATACAAAGGTTAGCTCAAACTATGCCTTGACCTGCTCCGGTTTTCCTTTTTCAATGGTGTCGTCTATACTGGTAGGGAGGGTATCATTATGTTAGAAGTCCTTGAATTGCTGGTAGCATTTGGTAAAGCACATCAGGTAAGTCAAGTAGTGAAATAGATGAAGGGTATGCTTTTTTTTTTTAGCATTATAGGTGCTTTGCATGGACACCTGGTTATCCTTCCTTGGCAATGTAGTGTTTTCACTCAAGTCGGACGTCTCTTGAACACATGTAGTCCTGGATTTGGTTCCGTCTTGTCATTTTCAAAGTAGTCCAACCAACAATCTCCTTGCTTCTCGAATCCTATATCAGGAATGCAGTCAGGAAACATCTCCGGTTCAAGTACACCTCCCAGATACAACCTATCCGACAACGATGGCATATTCTCTAGGAATGCTTCCTCGAAAGGCAGCAGAAAATATCACGCGGGGCTGTCAAGCTCGGATGCAGAAATTGACTATAGGAGGGTAAGGAGCTCAAGAGAAGGCAGGCGCGAGATAATGCTCGGCACGAGTAAGTGAAGAGAACAAAGTTGTCAGTTATTTCCCTGCCTCGAGGCTTTTGCTATTCCTTCTGTATTTGGGAAGCTCCTCTACTAGTAAGATAGAGTGGTCGGTCGTCTAACCCTATTATCTAACCTACTCTGCTTCCGAGTTCTGCCTCCCAATCTTCTCCTGGCCTTTCAGAATGTCTGGTTTAATCTTTTTCTCTGTGGCGTGTATGTATCCTCTCAATCCTATGGTCCTAGGCTGATGAAAATATATATGAATATATAACTAAATATAGTAATATGCTATGCCTTCTATGTATGTACGTACTTGTGCGGGTAAAATACCTCGGATACCACTTATCTTTGCGAATTGGGGGAGCTATACCACTTATATTCGAATAGGGCATCGGGTACCACTATTGTATTTAAATCGGGCATCCGTCCATTTTTCCGTCTCACTCACTAACGGTGCTAATAAAAAAAATATTTTTTTGCCACATCAGCATTGACTGTGGGACCCCATCTGCTGAGTCAGGTTTTTTCCCCGCTGCATATACTAATAAAAAAAACAAAAGGACCCATCTAGAAATTTAATGGCGCCACAATTGCTGGGTCATTTGGAGGGAAAAGTGGCGCCACAATTCCATTCCTTCCCTCTTTTAATTCCATAAAAGTGAAACTCCCTATCATCTTCCCATTATTCACCCCTGTAAAGGAAAACCCAGCAACTCCTGCATCTCTGAAGAGTATTTACACTCATTTGATTCATCTTTCCCATTTCTTTTTGTTCTTTTCGTCCTCATATGATCCAGGCCTATGACAACCCCATTTTGTCAATGTGGTGAGGCGGCAGTATTTCGCACTTCTTGGACCGACACCAATCCGGGACGTCGATTTTACGGGTGCAAAAATTATGGGGTAATTTTAGATCAACGTATGTATATTTTTCTAAGTATAAGAAACGTTTATCTTCTATAGCTAAATAGTTTGTGTGTTTCCTGTTTATAGACTTCGGGTGCATGTAACTTTTTTCGTTGGGTAGATCCGGTTCTTGATGAACCCATGAAGCAAGTTATTCGCGGTTTACACAGGCGGATTGTTGCGTTAGAGAGGAGGAACGATCGCCCAACCATTTCTGTTGGAAGGATGAAGTTTGTATGCATAATGTTGGGTTTTTTTGTGATTTCTTATATTCTGAACAAAATGTAATGTTGGAGCTCATGGGCAATGTATTGTACTAAGTTTGAATGGCCTTTATGACGTGTAATATGTAACAACTATTGCTGGAAATGCTGGAAATGCTACCTGGAAATGCTAGCTTAAACATTGATACATATTGTCTTCCCAAAATATTGATCAAAAGCTACCCAGAAATGCCAACTTAAACGTTTTTACATATTGTCTTCCCAAAATATTGATCAAAAGCTACCCAGAAATGCTAGCTTAAACGTTTTTACATACTGTGTCTGCAAACTATTGATCACAAGCTCCCTAAAATGATCGATTAAACCAAACTGCCTGCTACTTGTTCAAAGTTACAGTGCATGATTTTGTTCCACAAAAGACTAAACAACCATACCATACAACCTCCACAAAAATAAGCAAAGGTAACCCACACAAAGTTACAGTAGATTATCTTGTTCAAAGTCACAGCACTTGTTCAGAGGTACTTTCTCCCTTCACCTTCCATGAACCTGAAAATAGGAATTTACAAAGTTAGCTCACCAATATAAAAGTGATTTTGTAAGATTCACAGCTTAAAAAGCCTAAAATAATAGAGAATCTCAAACTTACAGTAGAACTTGGTTTATGGTTATTATTTCCAGCTCCAGATGTTTGTTGTGGAGTAAGAATACGAGCAGCCAATTCAGCAAGATTTGAATGTCGAGTAACATACCTATCAGTTGCTTCTCCAGAATACCACACATCAGCCGCATTTTCTTCATTTCCAGCCCCAAAATGTTCATTTTCAGCTGTGAATTGTTGAGTTCCTTGCTCATTCCGATGTGCCCTTTTGTTGTGGCCCTCTAAACCACATTGACTACAATGAATTTTCCCCCTACTCTTGCTCGCTCTTGTATTGCTAGGCTTATACTTTCTTTGCCTCTTTTGCTGCTCCTCCAATACCTCCTCTGTTCCCTTTCTCCTACTCAACCTACGTCTGCCCCTTCTCGTTTTCGCATCAGTGCTCACATACGGGGGTATCACAGGGTCTTGGTTAGATTCTCTCCATGATTCTGGTCCAACCATAGACTCCAGTGTGTAGTTATAAGTGCTAATGTAGGTGGCAACCTCATAGCATTTATCCACGTATGATTCGACCTTCTCACCCTTAGAAAATATGCAGCAAACAGCATGACAGCATGGAATTCCAGTCAAATCCCACTTCCTACATGTGCATGTGCGTTTGTTCAAGTCCACAACAACTTGTCCTTCTAGACACCGAACTTGAAATGTGTTAGAACCATTATGTAGAGCTCTACAACCGAAGCTGGCCTGCTTAGCAGCATATATCTTCTTCATTATTTTTGGACAAAATTGCCCACTGAAGTTTTTGTCAGCAAATTCTTTTTTCTTAAGAAACCTAATCATCAGTTGGCATCTTATTGTCTCGAACATGCTAATGATTGGCTTCACCCTAGCACCTAAGATGCACCTATTCCAAGACTCACAGTGATTGTTCAGTAACACATCGGTCTTGCAATGCGGAAGAAAGTAAGCTCGACACCACTGAGACAATGGTTTTTCTAACAACCACTTAGAAGCACCTTCATTATAGTCCCTAAGTTTATCCATATTCTTCTTAAACTCAGCCTCATATGTTGATCTAGCAACATCCCATAAAAGGTCTTTAGTGGTTTTGTTACCTCCTTGAGATCGTTGTAGATTTGACCACAGATGTCGTACACAGAATCGGTGCTCCGCATTTGGTACTAGATCAGCTAAAGCATTAACCAAACCCTATAACAAAAATGAAAAAGAAAACACAATTAGTAATCATTACTTCAAGTGTACAACAATAAAGCAAATTAAGAAATATTAGGTGATTACCTTCTGTTTATCAGACATAAATGTCCACTTATCACAAACTTCTGGAACTTTTATGTCATTAATTACATGAGTTAGGAACCATTTCCAGTTTTCTTCATTCTCCACCCCCACCATGGCATATGCTATAGGAAAAATTCCATCGTTAGCATCGATGCCAACAGCGGAAAGCAACTGACCTCCATGAAGCGTCTTCAAGAAGCAACCATCAAGGAATATGATCTTCCTACAACCGGCTGCAAATCCTTTCTTGCAAGCAGCAAAACAACAATACATTCTACGAAAAATGTGATCCTCTGTATCCACATATATGCTCGAACCCGGATGGGTTTGATACAACTCAGCACAATAGTCTCGAAGCCTTGCATACTGATCTTCTGCCTTTCCTCTTATCAACTCCAATGCATATTCTCGTGCCCGTCTTGCTGTCCATCTGGAAGTAGTATAGTGAAAGTCTTCTTCACAAGTTTGCACTATCGAATCATTACCCCATTTAGGATCAATCTCGAACCTCAATAAGTACTTCTTCGCAATGTACTTGTAGGTGAACCATTTGTGTCGGGACACCAACACACACCCATTATGTTCCCCATTGTACGACTTGACCTCCACTGACCTCCTATTTGGAGAAGGTGAAACCCAAATATTCCATTTGCAATTCTTCTCACAACATACCTGAACTCTCCCACGGTCACTATGAACAAACCTCAAAGGGAACTTGTTCTTGATTGAGTAAGATCTAATAGCCTCCCTGAATGTCTTTAAGTCACTGAAAATCTGCCCTAAAAAGAATTGGGGATTTTCCATATCTCTTGCCGGATTAAATTCTTGGAACCTTCTTCTTGTACTACCTTCATCATCACTCGAGTGAACACTGCCCAAGTAGTCCGAATCACCACAATCGGTGTCGGCATCTTCACCAATTACATTATCAATGATGAGATTTTGGTTGTCCCCTCCACCTTCGAAGTCATTTATATCAAAGTCATCCTCACTGGCTTCATTTTCATCATCCACAAACCCACTGTCCCCATCAGACTCACTTCCACCTTCATTTTGTGGGATTGGAACTCTATATGAATCACTTTTCCTGCCACTTTCCAACTCAACTCTCTTGATAAGATAGACCTCAACAACTTTTTTGTCTGCAACAACTTCTTGAGCCATAGCCAACAATTCTTGGTCACTCTTCAATTCCACCAACCCTTCCCTCATATTCTGTCCATTCACTTTGTAGTAGTATGCATAACCATTCAAGATTCTATACTCTTCTATGTCTTTAGTCTTCACTTGCACCAAATATCCGACATCAGTAAGAAGTCCATCTAACTCTAGGATTGACAAACAATCAGGATCAACATAATCCCAATATTGTACTTTCCCTCCCACGTAATGGCCATCTTTATCTGAGTTTTCCATATGGCCATCATAATGCATTTCAAGAGTGAATTGATCTTCACAGATTCCTATACCAAACACATTAAACAATTAAAAATCCATTAGCTAGCATGGAAATCCATAAACTACAGGCCAAAACGTGAACAAAGATAAAGCATTAGGGACCACAAAAAGTAAACAACAAACATAAACTAAAGTGACAAAAGCTTCTTTCAAGATGTAGGTAATTCGACTCAAACAAAGGCAAAAGAACAAAAGTACAAAACACTTCATCACTTGCTGCCAAAAAAGTTCAGAAACCAATCGACCATTTAAAGTGAATGCCAACTATAGCAACCACAAGTACACCATTGACCACGCTACACAAAAGAAAACAAAGATGAAAAGTCTGAATCATTACCATGTATGGGTAGTGTATCATAAATGAACCCCACTTTTCTCAGAACTGGAGCCATCTGACTCCAAATTGCAGTCGACTCCCTTCACGTTTCAAACCCTAAATAACAAAGCACATATATATATATATATATATATATATATATATATATATATATATATATATATATATATATATATATCGATCAAATTCTGCAGTAAATGAAATAAAATAAAAAGAAAGGATGTCAGAAAGAACTGTACTTGGGAAAGCTCACATGTGCAGACCACTTGCTCACAGAATCCGATTCTTCTTCTTTGGACGCTTAGTTTGGGGGTGAGAAAGACGAAACTGGTTTCTCTTTTCTCGGTGAATAAGGCTGGTCTCGATGGGTCCTTTCGTTTCTCTTTTTTTTTTTTGGAATTAGTATATGCAGCGAAAAAGCAAACGTGACTCAGCAAATAGGGTCCCACAGTTAATGCTGATGTGGCGAAAATTTATTTTTTTATTAGCACCGTTAGTTCATGGGACGGAAAAATGGACGGATGCTCGTTTTAAATATAATAGTGGTACCCGACGCCCTATTTAAATATAAGTGGTATAGCTCCCCCAATTTGCAAAGATAAGTGGTATCCGAGGTATTTTACCCTACTTGTGCACCTTTTATTGCAGTATATGCACGAGGTAAATCGATCTTCAGTTTGGATTGCTAATTTGTCTCAGCAAATTATGAAGCTTTCTGTTTCTATAATCTGGGATGGTTATTAGCTGTAGGTGGCCGTACACAAATACAATTTTAGGTTGGAGTTTGGAATTGACTCTAAAGTGACAACAGAGTTTAAAGAATGTTGATGTTTCCATTTGCAGCAACATGATAAGGTATATACTATGATGAACAACCAAGTAATAGCAAAGAGTCCCAAACATTTGATTGCGCGAAACATTTATGCACAACAATACGATATTGGTCGTGGTTTTTGTTAACGAAACACAAGAGGGAGCCAACCTAAGACACTATGAGGAGAGAAACACGCAACAATCGAGGGAGAAGTTTGCAGTATGGCTGAGCAAGAGCAAACCGTATAGGAGCATATGGTTGATACTCGATTCGTGTTCTGGTTTTGTTTGCAGACTGATTTACTGTATATACGGTATGGTCTCGATGGGACCATTTTCCAGCCCTATACATAACCTAAAAACGAATTCTGTGGGCAATCAGATTGTTTGACATTTTCACTTATTCCAAATTCCTTGTTAAAAAAACCAAGCAACACCCTGTTTACTTTCATTTCTGTTTCCTGTTTTTGAGAAAACAGATGTTGAAAACAGGTGAAAACAACATTTCGTCGTTTCCGAAAACAGCAGGAAGTTGCCACTTTCTGTTTTCATAGTTGGAAACGAATAGAAAATAGAATGAAAAGTAAACAAGTTTTTTCGTTTCGGTTGCCAAATTTATGACATGAAAACAGAAAACAGGAAACGAAAATGGTTAAGGGCCTGTTTACTTTCATTTCTGTTTCCAGTTTTTGAGAAAACATATGTTGAAAACAGATGAAAACAACATTTTGTCGTTTCCGAAAACAGCAGGAAGTTGTCACTTTCTGTTTTCATAGTTGGAAACGAATAGAAAACAGAATGAAAAGTAAACAAGTTTTCTCATTTCGGTTGCCAAATTTATCACATGAAAACAGAAAACAGGAAACAAAAATGGAAGTGAACCGGGCTGAAGTGAACAGGGCCTAAGGGCCTAACAATGTAATTTACCGTAAATAAATGTGTGGTTCGAGTTTGCGACAGTGGACTTAGACGTGGGCTACGATAGGAAGGCCCGCAAGCGGCAGGCAGCATCATCCGGCCGAGGCAATCAATTATTCAATAATCAAATACGAATGGCGGCCTCCACCGCTCCCTTGGTATTCTTCTCCACTTCAACACCAAGACCCTCGGTCGCCGTCTCCTTGTCGCCGTCGATTCTACTACGTCCCCGCCGTTGCCGTGCAGTAGTGCGCGTGAATTCAGTCTATTCAGCTCCCGGATCACTGTCCCTGGACAGCGGAGGTCACAGCTCCATGGCTGCTCCATCGGCGGCCCCTAAGTGGGCTCAAAAGACCATCACGCTTCCTCCGCAGCGGCGAGGCTGTCATCTTATTACTTCAAAGGTTTCCTTGCCTCGCCCAATCTTTGAATTTCTTTTCCTATATCGGTTCTTTGCCTCCTTGAGTTGAGATAACCTAGGGTTCCTTCTCTGTTTCCCAGATTTTGAAGGAGATTGAGCCTGATCTATCTCAGTTCAGCTGTGGCCTTGCCCATCTATTCCGTGAGTAGTCGAAGTCTAACATACTCGTTTCCCTCGTCTACCATTTGCGTAGAACTGGGTTATGTTATTAGGCTAAGCTTCTTCCCTGTTTACTATTGATGACTCTGATCCGAATGAATGATGTTATTGAATTTACAGTGCACCATACCAGTGCTTCTCTTACAATCAATGAGAATTACGATACTGACGTTCGGGCCGACACTGAGACTTTCCTCAACGCCGTAGTCCCTGAGGTTTCCTCTTTTACTCTTTGCCTTCTCTCTAGTTGTTTGTTTGTCTTTTCAGCTGTTGCTGCTGCCCTCTTATTTTGTTTCCCTTTTCTCTGGCTTGTTTTGGTTTTGGTTTTATCCTTCACAGGGGAATTCCGCTCCTTGGAGACATACACTTGAAGGTGCGTCTTTTAATTCCCTGATGGCTAGTGAAGTCATTGCTTACTGCTATTGTCTTGTGCCATTCAAAGTTGCAAAAGCTGGGAAATTTTTAATTGCATTCACATAGAAGAAGTGAAGCTTGGTGATTCTGAATCTGAAGTTAGTGGATTCGTGGTCAACTGTGATCTTCTGTTAACACTAGGTAGTAAATAGCAATCCGCCAAATCTAGAATCTCCCTGCATTTATAGTTTCACCATTGCCCCTTTCACACAAACTGTCATGATAATTTGGTTCCATAACCTATCTTTTGCTGTCTTTTTAATTTAATTCGTGTTTTGAACCGAGCTGCCTACATCTATCTTAACGTTCACCGCTTTACTTCAAGTTTGGAGTAACTGATTTTGCCATGTGGGATGTTCTCAGGTCCAGATGACATGCCCGCACACATTAAATCATCAATGTTTGGCTGCGCTCTCACGTGAGTAACCCTCCAGTCTGGACTGTCCATGTTTTGTTGGTTCTTCTATTTACCTGGCCTTTTTGTTTCTGCAGGATCCCAATCACAAACGGAAAGCTGAACATGGGCACATGGCAGGTCTGCGGATAATCAATTTTTCTTTTAATTGTTTGTTCTTTACTGGTTTCTCGTTTTGTCAGTATAATTATTGTTATGTTTCTCCATGGTCTCATTGAGTGAGCAACGTGTAGGTTTACCTCTGCAGCAGACCATAAGATTAGATAACCCGACAATGTTAACCTTAATGCTCTCAGAAGCTTTGTTGCACTGCTTGCTTTAGTTTATGAATGTCCTCTATATAGAAATACAGACGAGTAAGCATAGCCAGGCAGGTTACAGAGCAATACCTAGGATCTGGGTCTTTTTCTTTTCTTTCTTCTTCCAGGTCCAGAACCACTGAATTTCTCTGCTTTCAATGAGAACTGTAAGTAAACAGACTAAAATTGAATCATGTCTATCTTCTTTTCTGTCCAGGGAATATGGTTGTGCGAGCATCGTGACTACCCTACTGCACGAAAAGTTGTGGTGACACTCAATGGAATATAAGGTAGTCAGTTGATAGAAGAGGAGGGGTTGTGGCGCCTCCGTCCTTTTGTCGAGAGTACGAACATTCTCTGTGTTGTCTATAAGCTTGCATATAAAATAACGATTTTGTTGTTACCGCTGAAACCTCAGCAGAAATGAGGTATACCGAGAACTTACTATTTCGTTGTTAAATGTTAAGACTTTGTAACTGCAACTGCAAGTCGCTTTCTACATTGCAAGTCCATTCTTGTATGAGGATTAAATGGTTTGGTCCTCAATGGAATGGAATAGATTAATATGAATATTCTTGTGCTTATTGTTTTGGTAGTGATGTTGTGTTTTATTGGTAGTGTTTACATTGTGGTATTGGTGTATATCTTTGTTGATGGATTGGTATTCAATATTGAAAATGATTTGGATGCAGTGCATAATGGTTGTAAGATGTGCATGGTTTGGTTTTGGTTCGGTATCAGTACCATTAAAATGAATTGTTTTGCTTGTCCCTCCGTTTTAATGGTATTAGTGTCGTTAGTTATGTGTTAGTAGACATTATTTATTTATTTATTAAAAGGAGGCATACGCCAATTACATCAAGGGAAGCAGTAAGAACATACGGCTGCACCCGCAGCTACAACGCTGACAAAAAACATGGGGAACATATTCATCAAAAGGAAAATCCAGAGCATCCACATGTCTAGGGGTCATCTTGAAGCACTTGCCGCGGGAAGCTTACTCCCAGTTGATCATCTTGCAGAATCCTTTCCAGCTCTGTGGGAAGTTCATCTAGCTCAAACATACCAAAGGGATAGACGAGACTGTGCTTCGAGAGCCAGTCCGAGACTCTATTCCCTTCCCTGTATGTGTGATTTGTGAACCAAACGAACAACCCACTCTTGATCTAGTAGTCGTCGTATCTCCCTTAAAATTGAGGCATGAGGGTGAGCTGGGTCCGTTCTTTTCTGAATGAGTTCCAAGGCAAGTTGAAAATCTGTTTCAAGCACTAGAAATTCTGCTCCATTTCTCCTTGCTAGCTGAAGACCCTGCATAATGCCCCAAAGTTCGGCCATAATGGCTGTACCGGACCCAATTTTGCTGCAGAATCCTCCTAACCAGTCTCCAAAACTGTTCCGAAGGGCACCCCCTGTAGTAATAAGGCCTGGATTTCCCTCTGCCGCGCCGTCAGTATTCATCTTCAACCAGCCTGTTATGGGAGCTGTCCATGATATGAGGGCTTCCGATCAGCCTCTTTTGTTGCTTAAATCAGCTTTCATTGTAGCAGATTTCCAGACCCTGATCCATTCTAGCGCTTTAGTTGAGGCGTAATTATGAAGAGAAGAAGGCGCCCGCTTGACCCCTTTGAAGATCATGTCATTCCTGCTCTTCCAGATATACCAGAGTAATAAACTGAAATAGCTAGCCCAACTATCATAACCTTGACCTTGAGAATAATCTTTCAAGTTGGAGCGGATCCATTCATCAAACTCCATGCTGAAGAAACTGTTGTGCTTGTTCGTTGACAGTCCGCTGCCAAACTGTCTTAGCCATGACACAATCGCGAAGACAATGAAGTATGGTCTCGGGTGAACCCTGACATTGGGGGCACTTATCATCTTCAGTGAGGTGTCGATGTTTTCTTAGGCTGTTGGTGGCCAACTTGCCATGTATAGCCAGCCAAATGAAGGCTCTCACCCTTTCCGGGGTCTGCAATTTCCAAACTTTCTTCCAAATGGCATAAGGGCAATCCGGATTAAGTTGTGGAGAAATGGCCTGGTAAGTTGATTTGGTAGAGAATTGTCCTGTGGAAGATAAGCTTCATATCATCTGGTCATCGTCCGGCGCCAAAGAATCAACAATAACTGTTCGGAGTCGATCAATGATGTGATCAGGAAGGTACTGATCAATGTCATTGATTCTCCACCCGTCATTATCATCCCAATAATCAGCAACATGCTTGCCTTCTGCATCATCCGGAATCTCCGTTGTGACAAGGTTAATGAGTGGCTCCTGCAGAAGCCAGGAATCAAACCAAAAATTAGTATTGTTCCCATTAGTAATATTAGCCACGCAGCCCTTTTTCAAGACATCTAAAGTTGAGGCAAAACTCCTCCAAGCCATAGAACTTCCCTTTGTTTTCTGCAGAACCGCCAACTTCTCCCTGTTGTTCGCGTATTTGCTTCGCAAGGTTTGAGCCCACAAGGACGGATCGTTGGTTGCGAGTTTCCAGGCACCTTTAGCAAGCATCGCCAAGTTCGCCCTTTTAGTGGGTCTAATCCTGGCGCCTCCTTGATCTCTTGGAAGAGTCATTTGATCCCACACCAGAGCATGAAGCTTGGATTTCCCATCTTCCTCCCCCCAAATGAACTGTCTATTGCACCTGTCAATGAAATTACAAACACCAGTGGGGATGGCTTCTGAAAACATCGGATAAACTGTCATTGATGATGAAACTGATCTCACCAGGGTTATGCATGCTGCTAAAGAAAGATAACGGGTCTTCCAAGTAGCTAGTTTCTTCTGGATTCGTAGGCAAAGCTCTTTATATCTTGCTTTCGTGATGCGCCCATTGTGGATACCCAAGTATTTTCCTAGGTCTCCTGTCAATGGGATAGCAGCTCTGTCGCTCAATTTTTGTGCTTTCCTTCTCGAGACATTGGCAGAGACCAGCATGACAGACTTGTTAAGGTTCACTTTCTGTCCCGAACTGGCACAAAAGTCTTCCAAGCGCTGGCGCAAGATATCTATCTGTTTATGATCTGCCTCTGCAAACAAAATTAAATCATCAGCGAAAAAAAGGTGGGACAGTTTGGGACCATTCGGAGAGAGTGAGATGGGTTTCCAAAGATTCTCTTCAACAGCTTGCTCGATTCGATGGGCCAGACACTCCATACATAGGACAAAGAGGTACGGAGATAAGGGATCTCCTTGACAAACGCCTCTCGTGGGAGTGATAGGGCTGGTAAGCTTCCCATTCCAGTTGATCCGCATGTTGTTGTTATCCACACAATACATGATCCTGTTCGTCCAAGTACTAGGCAGCCCAATTTCAACCATAGTGTCACGAATAAACTCCCACCGAAGCCTATCGTAAGCTTTTTACAGATCTATCTTGATGATAACCCCACCCTTCTTTCGTTTCTTGTTGCGGAAGGAATGCAGAACTTCTTGGAGAAGAATGACATTATCATTAGTTTGCCGTTTCGGGATAAAGCCACTTTGGGTAGGAGCCACTAGCTTCGGCATCAGGGGCTTCAGGCGGTTGGTGATGGCTTTCGTGATGGCCTTCAAACCTACATTGTTGAGTGATATAGGTCGAAGCTGGGATGGCGAATCTGGATGATCCGTTTTAGGAATGAGAATAGTAGTCGACTCCATAAGCTCTCCTGGAAGTGTTCCCGTATAAAAAAACTTGACCTCCATGTTAGTAAGATTTTTCCCAACCAAAGGCCAAAACTTTTGATAGAACACTGCTTGAAATCCATCAGGTCCGGGTGCTGAGAAGGGTTTCATCTAAAAAATAGCTCTATGGAAGTCACTGATGTTGAAGGGACGAAGAAGCATGAGGAGCTCCTCCTGAGTCAGCCTGGGAAAGCTATTTTTGGGCATCTTGTCAGCATAGAGAGACAAGTCTTGAGTATACAGGATGTTGTAGAAGTCAACAACTAGCTCCTCAAGCTTCCTTGCATCATCTATCCAACTACCATTGATGTCGCGAAGGGCAGCAATCCTCTTGCGTCTCCGGTGACGAGTAGCTTGGTGATGAAAATAGGCAGGGTTTTGATCGCCCATCTTAACCCATTTCTCTTTTGATCTTTGAAACCAGATGACTTCTTCTTGAGCGAGTAGCGTATCCAGCTCCGTCTCTAGTTTAGCCTGCAGTTTGATAAGTCCGGGATTGAAGTGCTCAGCAATCTTCTCTTGGATTCCTTGAAGTCGGGCAACAGTAGACATATTGTTGACGTCACTCTTCATCAGACATAGTAGGAGTATGATTTATTATTGTTTCGGTATATATACATATCTTTATTGGTATATATATGTTTGGTTTGATTGGTATTGACATAACTTTTTTATGTTTTGCTATTGTTAGTAGCTAGTGTTTGTAGCAACCTTATGTATGATAAGCAATACCATTCTACAAACCTCGAACAATACCATTGCACATATAACAATGAACACTACCATTCCTATGGTAGATCACTACCAATGCATGCTAGTCTCAACAAAACTGCATACACGTACCATTGCAAGATCAACAAACAGTGCAACTCATCTTGACCACTACCATTGCAAGATCAAATAACATACCAATCCACCAAAAGATCACTACCATTGCAAGATCACTACCAATGTATGCAGATAACTACGAAAATGGTAGATCACTACCATTTCATGGAAAAAAATCAAGTTCTTTGCTTTTTGGTTTTGCCTTCCGCCATTGCTCTGCTTCTCGCTCTCGTTACCTTCCATGTATATATATAATCCATGGTGTGCTCTCTTTCAATCTCTCTCCATCTCTCTCCACTCGAAGGCAATGAAAAGGACATGAATGGATTTTCTTTCTTCCGTGAGCTTCCGGTTCGGGATTGAAGGAGCCGCTTGTTTCGAGGTTGGGCGACGAAAAATGGCCAGAGGCGGTCAGCGAAGCTTGGTCCTGTGGCGTGTTGGGAGTAAGGGAGAGGAGGGTAGAAGTAGGGTTTGAATAGCCTCTCGACAACGATGGGAGCTTGCGGCAACAACAAGTTTGGCTGGAGGGAGGGGAGGCTAGAGTTTGGGTACAATACAAAGAATAATTAGGTGTGGTCTATTTTTTATTTACAAAATTACCCCAAAACAATTTTAACCGTGAGAGTTGAGACTAAAAAAAGAGGGGAAAAAAAAAGAAAAATGGATGAAAGATACTGTTATAGCCACGGTGGCTACTAGACTAGAATTCTAGTAGCCACCCTAACGCAATTCGATTAATATGGATTAGGGATAGCTTGTTTAGTTTAATTCAAGTAGATATCTGGTTTTTTAGTATCAAGTCTAATACCCGACTAATTAATTCTCCAGGTCAAGAAGTGTTAGTTATGTATTGTCAATTGGTTTAATTTGTAAGTGAATTAATACTTGTCTTATCGGTGTATGAGTTATGATGTTAAGTAATAACTTAGTACTAAATACCAAATGGAAATGATTTAGTTGAAGTTAGTTAAGTATTTGGTCAATAATATGTTCTGATATTAATCTTGTAAGAGGTTCTTTAAGCACGTTGATAGGTTGACGTAATTTGAGTTATTAATTAGCAAATTATTAGTTTTACCGGGTAGAATATTTTGACGACTTAAATTAGAAGATAATATGATAATTAATCGAAGGTTTAATTCACCCGCGTAGCCATAACTTTCACGGTTTTGACAAATATAGCCACTTTTTGAATAATACACAGATGTAGCCAC